AGGAGGCACAGGAGTTAAAACCTAAACCCCTAAAGCCCTAAACCCTAAAGCCCTAAAACCCTAAACCCTAAACCCTAAACCCTAAACCCTAAACCCTAAACCCTAAACCCTAAACCCGAGGGATCCTGGGCACGGCGGAGCTCCTTCGCTTCATCGGACCAGGCGGGGCCTGTTCGAACGTAGGGGCTTTAAGGGCTCCTTTAAGGGCTCCTTTAAGGGCTCCTTTAAGGGAGGGCTCCTTTAAGGGGTCTTTTTTGGGGGTTTAGGGGTTTTAGGGCTTTTAGGGCTGTTAGGGCTTTTAGGGCTTTTAGGGCTTTAGGGCTTCTAGGGCTTCAGGGCTTTTAGGGCTTTAGGGCTTTTAGGGCTTTAGGGCTTTAGGGTTTTAGGGTTTTGGGTCTAGGGCGCCGGGAGAATGAGTTGAAGCATTTCATGGGCCTGAAGAGAAAAGAAGAGGTTTTGGGGTACCTTGTAATTACTTGTTTTCACAGGGACAAAAACATACTACCTACCCCGCGGTGCTTAATTTCCACGCCCCAAACGCTAAACTCTCCACCCCCTCTAGTCCTCCCAGACCCTTCAACCCTAAACCCTTTTAAGGCAACCTCGAGAGCCCCCAAAGGGGTTCTCTAAGGGCTCCTTTAAGCTGTCTTCTTCAAAACAACCCGGATCCCCAAAGGCCCAAAACCCTCCAATCTTAAAAGTTCTTCTTTGTGGGGTCTTTTTCAATAATTCTGGATCTCCCAAGGCCCAAACCCTTCAATCTTCAACTTGAGCCCCTCAGGGCAGCGTGAGCAACCCGGTGAGCCCCACGCACCCGCTTCGCCGGGGCTCTTGGAGAACCAGCGCCAACAAGTAGAAGTTTTAGTAACAGAGTATAGCATGAATTAGTAGAAGATAACTGAAAATAACATAACATATATATATATATAGAGTATAACATCAATCATAAAATACTCTAGCATAGCAGCGTCAAGAGTTTCAGGCTTTGGGGTCAGTGACGGGATGCAGGGTTTCAGGGTTTGGGCGTGTAGGGTCTTGTTAGCGTTCGGGCGTTTCGAGTTTAGGGGTTCAGGGTTTCAGAGTTCGAGGGTTTGGAAATAGGAACTGTCCCCAGTAGTACCTTCCTGCACTGTTATCTTGAGCTTCCGTTTTGCCAACTCACTGAGAACGATACCGATTTTTGCGACATTGCATTGTGAACTAGGTTGAGCTATTAGTTATTGTCTTGGGGAGAGAATCCGGTTCAGAAGGCCAGGTTTCGACCTTCACGACCGTCATTGCTTTTCCTGTTGCTTCTGATAGTGCTCTTACACCTTTCATGAAGATTTAACGTAAGGGCACCTCATCCTCATATAACATACCGTCACCCTCATGACCATCATCGTCGCCATCATCACCTTTAACACTTCAACAGAACCAGCCAGAACCACCGTAAGCATCACCACCTCAATGCCACTACCATCGCCATCATCATGAGAACCTCATGGGAAAGCAGCAAGAAGGACAATGATGACGACTAGGTTCTCCAGTGGTCCCCTTTTGCCCTCTTCATTGCATGGTTCCCTTTATGCAGCCACAAAGCCTGCGCATATATATATATATATACACACACACACACATTCATGTATATGTAGATGTGTATACATACATACATACATACATACATACATACATACATACATACATATATATATATATATATATAGATCGTATTATATCACATATATGTATATAGGTATGTTGTGTGTATATATATAAACATGTTCTACATTATATATGTATATATATATATATATATGTATCAGAAAGATATAAAGAACCGGCGAACAGCTTAAGGAACTGTTCCTGGTGCTTTGCACCTCTCTTGTGCATGAAAATGCAAGGTCAGGTGAGAACGCAGAGCCAGGTTAGCGCGAGCAGTGGCTTCGATGCACTTGAACACAAGTCTTGTGTCTCTACAGGTAGGGTCTTGAATAGTGACCGGGCTTTAGGTTTCTTCATGCTGTAAGTGCACGGTGTCGATAGGGCGACGAACTCAAAGCTTTGAATCCCTCAACCCGAAAATTCAAAAGCCCTAAACCTACACTCCACACCTAACTGTCGCTTACGGTTCGACAGTAGATCCTTTTTTTTCAGCAGCTTTCGAAATGCCCCAAACCCGGGAGGGAGAGAGAGGGAGCGAGAGAGAGAGAGAGAGAGAGAGTGGGAGAGAGCGAGAGCGACCCCCAGAGGCTCCCTCTCCCAGGGTCAAAGATCCGTTGATGTAGGGCTTCATGAAGTAGGTACTATTATCCTTTGGGAATCCTTGTCAAAGTCATCGTATGATATACCTTAAGACTCATTCTGGGTATGAAGGCCCCGACAGCAACCCCCTACAAAACCCTGTCTTACAGAGCGTTCAGAGGAACCCTATTCTAATTATTTGGACGCCTTTTGTCGGGTTTGAGAAGAGTTTCCGTGGCAACAGGGCATGCATCACAGTTCATAGGGCCCAGGATTTGATATTGGGGCCATAATCATTGCACTACGGTCTTGGAGTCATGTAGGAACCCCAAGGCATAGTATTGGTCATTACTCAGGCTTCCACATTCGAAGTTTTTTGTTTCAAGATCCCTTACCTACTAGTCCCGCAATGTAGACCCCTGATTAGCAAACCTGGTGTAACATCAGGATCCCGACTTTAATCCCAATTGGGGGCGGGGGTTGCCAACAAGAGTCTGCATTGTGAAGGAACCCTAGTAGAATCCAGACGACTTCTTAAACGCATGATTGTGGAGCCACATCTAGTGTCCGCTGGTGTGATTTCTGCTGCAGACCGAATCCCAAACGCTATTCCAATGATTCCGAGCGTTATAGTGTGCTCACCTGCAGAGTGTTGGGGGGCCAGGAGTCCGACACCCAATCTCTAAAAGCCCCTGCCCAACAATCACAAAGGTCCCAAAGTAAGCCTTATGCCGCAGACCGCAAATCCTAACCATTCCTTATGCCCGGAGCCCAAGCCCTACACGCACACCCTAAACCCGAATATGCAGAGGTTTGGGTATTGGTTAATCATATCATCTTCTTTGCATGGATTTTCTACACCTCTCCTCAACGAGGGTGTCGCGGCTCGAATCGGCTTTCTGTAGTATATTGGGGCCTTATGTAGTTTATGTAGGTTGCTTGTTGCAAGGTTTAGGTAGTTCATATTATATGCAATATTACTTAGCCTGGGTTGTCGTGCATAAACCTCTGAACTAAACCCTAAACACCAAGCCCTAAACCCTAAATCCTAAACCGAATCTCTTCATCAGGCGGCGGGTTCAGCGACGTATCGGTTCTGCCGGCCATATGTTCGTTTTGTTGAAGTTGGGGAATTGGGGTTTGGGGCTTGGGATGTGGGGTTTGAGGTTTAGGCGGGATCGGTGTTTCATTACAGGTTTTCTTTAGGCTCAGGCGGCAGGGTTTAGGAATGTTTAGGATCCATCCGTGCCAATCCGAGCCGAAACGACAGTGGGTATGATGATGACAGCGAAGTTGAGGACTATGGCAGCGGTGATGATATTGTCGGTTCTTCTGTCGCAGCGAATGCCAGCATGATGGTTGGTCGAATGACGGCTGATTCCGAGTGCTGTGTTGGTTGCTGGCAATGCCACTGTCGTCGGCAATACTGGCAGCACCAACTAGAAGAACATTGCCTTTGAAGCCATGCTGATCGTGTCTAAGAAGTTACTGAAGACAGCACAGGCATTCATCGCTTATGTGCTCTAAGCCGTCAACCAATGCTCCGATGCCAGGATGTGGGGGGCGGCTCGCCCTTATCTCCCACGCTGGCATTGTACCGGACTTCAAGCAAGGCCTGGCATGTGTCATGTGAGAACAGCAGCAGCAGCAGGAGTAGGAGTAGGAGCAGTAGGAGGAGTAGTAGTAGTAGTAGTAGTAGTAGTAGCAGTGGTAGGAGTAGGAGTAGGAGT